TATATATATATATATATATATATATATATATATATATATATATATATATATATATAAACTGTTGTATGTAACTGTTGTATGAGTCACGAAATTCAATTTCATGTGTATATAAAATTGCATTAGGTTATATATATATATATATATATAATGAAAATACCGTGGGTCAGAAAAGCTAGTTTAAATTTTGCATTAATTTGGCTTCGAGCGCAAAGGGTTAAACCTTGAAACAACGCTAAAATAACGTTCGCCATGGTTCGCAGCTCTGCGGCAGACCACTGTGCGACGATTCGTTGTTTAAAAGGGACAGGGTTGCCCAGGTTCGAACAGGAAATTACGGATCCCGGGCGCACAATGGTCGCCGAAGGAGCGTATCGGTGTCGGCGCGGCCGTTTCTATAGATTTCGAATTTCCTATTTGAGCGGTGGAAACGTTTGCACGCGGCGAGAAATTAATCGGCGATGCCTGGCGACAAGCGGGATCGCGCGGCTGCTCGCAGCTGTTGCACGCGCGTGCAAAGGCGTATGCAAAACGATCCTCGGCCCCGGAGAACAACCGTGGGATGCACCAGCTCTCGCGGTGGTATGCGCGCGCGGATCGTTAGGCAATTTTCTAATCGACGGCCGACGCGGTCTTGCCGCTTGGAAAATCGTTCCCGGGGAAATCTTGACCCGGAGAACCGCTGGCGCGGGGATAACGCGCGGAGAATGAATTTTTCAGCCGGGAATAACGACGCAAGGCGCAGCAGAAACGCCCGAACCGCGGAAAAAAAATACGACAGAATGGGACTTTTCGAAGCAACAAACATCGTTACTTAACGCTGGAACTATGAAAACAGGCAAAATGACTGACTACGAATCTCTTCTTTTACAATTCCTGATATTACGAAAATGTTCCTACGACAAATTTTTGGATGGACTTTTTTATTCAAGCATATATATTGCAACAGAGGTCCCACGAATTTTAAATAAACCCAATCTTGTCGTTCTTATAAAATATTAGTTAGTGTTATTAGTATAAGAAAAAAGATTGCAACATTGCAGAATCGTAGTTCTATGTCAATTCTTGCTAGTTCAAATGATGCAAAAAAAGTAATGAGAATTTATCGAGTCTGCCTCAAATTCGATTGAGTTCTGTTAATATTATCGTTTTAATTCGTTATCCAATTTCGTTATATTGTGTAATAATATATGAAAATACTGATGTGAAATTCAGGACTTCGTTATTTTATTCCTGAAAATATTTATTACTAATAAACGGCTATGTTAAACATTAATCCGATTATAGATACGCGATCAGCGAGCGGAAAAATCCTGGTACACACCAATTGTCGTGAAAATCGTCCAACAATTTCACATTTCGTCCGGACGTTTTCGCGCGGCGTGCGACGCGGCCCGCTTCAAAATTCATTCGGCTCGAATTGAAAACGTTCTCCACGTTAAAACCACCGAGTCCGAAACGCGACTGAGCTTTCGGGTCGGGATATTCGAACGCGGAGAACGAGGCGAAAAAGCTCGGCTAACGACTCGGTCTGGAATTACGTAGTGCACACGTCGTTCCTTATCTTTGCCAGAACTGGCGTCGACGACGTGGCGTGCAAGCGTTATTTCACTTAGCAACAGATCAGTTAACAATCGGCATCACCGTGCCGGGCTGGAATGCGAACGGCCCCTCCCCCCCGGGTGTCGTCGCTCCGCGAAATCGTACATTGTCTTTCCGCATAATCGTCGGGACGATGGTTAACTCTTTTGTTGTTGCGCCTCGTGTTCCGCTGACGCGAGTATCGTATAAACGATCATTATGCGGCATAGACCGCAGCGGTCACCGATTGCACAACCAAACTGGGCGGAATTTTGCCTCCGGTAACCGGGAATTTCGAAACGAGGCGCGTCGCGGTAATCCAGCAAAACGGAGACCATAGAGAATCACAACGTACTTGGAGTTCGTTCGGCGCGCCGGACGAAAAATTCGTTTTACGTAAAGAAACCGAACGAGAGACAGCTCGTTGTTCGCCGAGGGCTTAGTTAGCAGCCGTTGTTGACATGCGACCTGCACCACCGGCTCAAGAACAGATCCGAGGAGGGGTAGATTTTTGAAATAGTCAATGGACCGTAAATATTTTCATGTTCTCTTATGTAGTTCCAAATTTGGCGAACGAACTTTTCTTTAAAATGGTAGTTACACGTGGAAATATCATTTCAAGTACAGGATGTCCCGAAAATGTCTCGCAATCCGGAAATGTGGGGTTCCTGAGGTCATTTGAAGTAACTTTTTCCTTAGCGAAAATGCAATCCGCGGCTTCGTTTACGAGTTATTAACGAAAAACACTGACCAATGAGAGGCGAGCTCGGCTGGCCAACGAGCGCACGAAGCCCAGTTCCGCTCATTGACTCGGCCGTCCCACTCCAACTGATTTGGCTTCTCATTGGCCACTGTTTTTCGTTAATAACTCGCCAACTAAGCCGCGGATTGTATTTTCGCTAAGGAAAAAGTTGCTTCAAATTACCTCAGGAACTCCCCATTACCGAGTTACAAGACATTTTCAGGTCGCCCTGTATATTTGAATACTATTATTATTCTGTCACATGAGAAGACAAGAATATTTATAGTCTACTTACTAATTTAAAAATCGATTTTTCCCCAGCTCTGCTCAAGAACGCGGGACAGGACCTTCCAATAATCGCGTTTGGAAACGATCCGGCGTTCGACGAATCGAATTCGCGGGATGACGGCGGAACCGGAAGTGATCGATGAGCGTACCTGGTATTTTCTGATGGAGTGCAGCTGCTGCTGGGTGGGCTCGGCATTGGCGTAATCGGTGGTCTCCACATTATTGTTCTGCGTGGACAGACGCAGGTTATCTTTCGGCGGTCTGGCAGGCGCCCTCTTTTGATCTCTCGGCGGTATGGCAGGTTTCAGCCCGTTCAGACCGGCCTAAAAATCCGTTCCGAAAAGAAACAGGCTCGCATTAATCCAGCCGTGGCGTCGGATGGCCGCCGCGATCGCGACTAAAACGAGTGGTTTAACTAAAAACTCTCTTTTCGTAATCGATTCTCCCTTGGCGAGAAGTCGTACGTAGAAGCTCTTCGTCTTCCAACGACGACGACGACCACTCGTGGACGTCCTCCGACACGCGTCCGCTTCCGGTCTCGACCACGCGGAAGCGAACGGCACAGAAGAAGAGAGAGAGAGAGAGAGAGAGAAAGAGAGAAGGAGAGAAAGATAACAGACGCAGAAGTACTAGATGAAGAAATACAGAAAGAAGAAGATTACAGGAGATAGAGACGAAAGAGGAGTCTGGCGCTTGCACTACGAGAAAGAGAGAGAAAGAGAGAGAGAGACAGTTTTTCTACGACTACGCAGACAGCGTTTGCAATCGGCTCTGACTACTTTACCATGCCTTCCAAGTCTACTACAGTGTGTCCGTTCCGCATGCGTTCTCTGTCGCACCGTGCCCCGTGAGAAACGGAGCCCCGGGTTTCTTGCTCGGCCCCGCCGACGATCGAAGAATCAACGACCCAACTTCGGCAACTAACAGACTGCGGAAGTTCCAAAGCGAATTCGCAAGTTTCTAGACAAATCCCCGTTCTGCTCCCCTAATTGCCGCGTTCGGCGATTCACGGGGTAGCCCGGGTGAAAAATTAGTTTGGGAGCTCGGTGCTCGAAACTTCGACGTGAATATGCAACGGGCGCGTTTCTTGTTTTGCCGTTTAGATCAATAACCGAGAAGACGGCCCATCCGCAGTCTGTTACGGTCGTTCGATGCTTGTTTCGACATGTGTCGCTGTGGGTCTATCGTACGCAGAAAAGCTGACATTATCCTCAGAATTTTAAAAAACCCGGGAACAAGCCGAAAGTACTCGCGTCGTCGTTAACGAAAGCTGACGTGGTCTCCGGAAATTTCGAAGGGGCCAGGATCAATCGCAATGTACATCCCCCTCCAAAAGTATTAGGACAGCTGCTAATTCAGTGTATATAAATTGCAATATTTCGTTCACTTTAGGTAATATCTACATGGCATCATATTAAGTGCATATTAAATTATAAGCGTTTTGCGCTTATGCAATTAGTTTAGTCATTCATTGCGCTTTGTTCATTGATAACGTATCCTGAGTTGATTCCGGCAGTCTTCGTTTGGTTCGATACAACGTTATCGATTTCCCGTTATGTTTTCTTAACATGTGGAACACACTACAAAATGCATGGAACCAAAGAATGGAATGGAACCAATAATAGAACCAATAATAGAAGAGCTAATGAAGCGGATGGCGAAATTGGTTCAAGAAATGATTGAAAAACGCGGTGGATCTATCGACGAGAATGAAATTGAATTTTCTCTAATTAAATTGGCGTTATATTTGTAACAACGTGAAAAGAAATATATATCAGTATTAGAGTCATTGAGTAGTAGACTGGTCCCTCTATCATCTACAAAAAATTCAAGTTATATAGTTCACTTTTAAAAAAAGTTACGAGAATGAAATTGAATTTTCTCTAATTAAATTAGCGTTATATTTGTAACAACGTGAAAAGAAATATATATAAGTATTAGAGTCATTGTCTAGTAGACCGGTCCCTCTATCATCGACAAAAAATTCAAGTTATATAGTTCACTTTTAAAAAAAGTTACGCCGTTTTTCAAGTGGTTTTAAATACATGTCCGCTACTGTATACGTGCTTGTTACAATTTAATCCAATTAGCTTTGAAATAAGTTGAAAAAATTAGAACAATTTCCCACGGTTACCGTTCCTATTTACTCAATTTCCTGCAAGAGTCCTAATACTTCCGGAGGATGGTGTACACGCCTATCATTAACGGAGACCGACATCTCCAAGATCATCGGCTTTGGACCAAGTCAGTAACATTCCCAAAGACTCGTGACAGTGACAGTAAAATCCTGCAGACCCTCCGATCGTCGGCTAAAGCCGCGGGAGACCCGACGACCCCCTTGCCCAGGCGCAGGGCGCGTAGAATGTCGAAGCAAAGTTTACCTGTGGCGTTTCGAGATGGTCTAGGCCCTGGCACGAAGCGTACGTACGTATCCTGGCAGAGAAGTCATCGAAGATGGTAGCGTCCAGTATGCGCCGGCTCGAACCGCTGGCTGAGGTACGCCAGGGGATGATTCTACTCGCAAGATTCGAATCCGAGAGGCAGGATTGGCGTAGACCGGAGCGGGAGTAGTCGTGGCGGGGGCGGGAAATCTCGGAGTCGCTCCTGGATAGATCCCGACCGGCCGCGGGCCTGTCGGGGCCCCGCGAGAGCTTGTCGCGCTTGTACTCGATAGACAGCCTCGAATTTTTCAGATTTTGCGTGTCGGGCGACTCGTCGGGGCCGACCGCGACCCGGCAACGATCGCTCCTCGGATCGGCGAGCCGATCGTTCGTCGATCGACCGCCGGCGGACAACTCGCGCAGAGAGTTGCGGGAATTTTGATTGGTCTCTTCCACGAACGACAAGCGTCTCGGCCGAGAAGGTTTCCCTTCGACAGGGTCGAACGGCGGGCACTTCTCGAAGACGACGCTGCAGGGTCTGCTCGAGGACAGGTCCTTCGAGAAGCGGACCTGCAGGTGTCCGGAAGCGGGCCTCGTTTCGCCGTGCTGGCTCGGTTCGAGCCGCGTGCTGGGGCTTAGATAGATCAGCGAGCTGTTAGAGGGCGAACGGTGTGCGATGCTCGCGGTAGAAGCGTGGCGTGGAAGCGGTTTGCGGTGGCGGGGCTCGTGGTGCACGAAAGATAGGAAGCTGTCGAGAAGCAAACTCTTGACTTTGGACCTTACCTTCTTCGTGGATGAGTCGCGTTTTCTGTCTAGCGTGCGCGCGGCCACGGTAGACGAGGAGGACTCGGTGGTAGCGAGCTGGTCGCCGCTACCAGCCAGCATCGCGAGCGCGAGCTCGTTCGGGGGGAGATGCCGGGACGGCGCGGTCGTCGGCGACGGCGACGGCGACGGCAACGGCAACGAGGTGGCCGTCGTCCCGTCATCCCCCGCGACGGCCGCCGCGACCGTCGCGACGGCCATCGTCGTCGTCCCGTTTCGCTCCCGCTTAGGCTCGAGCGTGTTCTGCTTGCTGTTCCCGGGGGTCTTGTTCGGCGGGGGATAGACGGGATGGCACTTGGTCACCGGCACGAAATCCGGCGGACAGTCGACGGCCACCTCGCGGTACGGCCTCCCGCCGACCACCAGAAAGCTACGCTCCGCGTGCTCGTGGTCGGTGGAGGCATCGCTCCTCAGAGTGGAGTAGCCGCTGGAGATCTGTTGATGGCGTTTCTTCTTCGGCCGCTGCCTCGAGGACGAGGACAAACTGCTGCCCGACTCTATGCCCACGAGATCCTCGCTGGATCCAGACCTGATCAGCTCCTCCACGTCCAGGGACCTTGTCTTCGCCTTCGTTTTAGCGCGGTCTTCCGTTTGTCTGCGGTTCTTGCCGCTTTTCAACGACTTCGCCGGAGTCGAGTCGGTCTGCAGCTCTCTGGGCTCCTTGTTCCGAGCCGGAGACGACCTGTCCTGGTCCCTGGGTAGTCTCGGAATCGTGCACTGTTCGTCGATCAGTCTGGTCAGGTCGGAAACCTCGTCGGATCTCATCAAAAGACCCTGGAGGTCCTGCAGGTCGGCCAGTCCGTACGCCGGATTGTCGAAGGAGGTCGCGTCCCTGGTTCTGCCGAACCTCGGGGCGACCTTGATCTCTGGGACCACCGGTCTGCAGGGGGAACCCAGGTCTATCCTTCTGGCGTCGTACGTCGGGGACTCTTTGTCTCTGGTTTTGGCGTGCCTCAGCACCAGACTGCTGTCCAGGGGAGCGGTGCTGTCGGATCTGCCGGAGGAGCTCCTCGGACTGGCCGAGTCGTCGCTGCAGGTCTTCAGCATGGTCGGGTAGTCCTCTTTAGCGAACGGATAGTCCTCCTCGACGTCCACGTCGACGCTGGATTCCTTCTGACCGTGCGCGTCTTCGTTCACTCCCTCGTCCTCCTCGTCGTCGAAGTCTTTGAACGGGTTCTTCAGGTCTGGGGAGCCCAGGGTCGAGGGGCTCCTGCGGTACGCGTCGTTCTCCGCTTGCTTGCCGTCCTTTCGCGGCTTCTCGTCCTCGTCCTCGAGGTTCTCCGGCTCGATCTTCAGCTCGATCTTGACCATGTGCGGCTGGTGGTGACCGTTCCTTGCGCACGGGCGCACGCTGGCGTCGGTGACGTCCTCTACGGTCTCTAGGCTAGTCGGGACTTTACCGTCCGCGCTGGCGATGCGCGGTGGAGGCGGCGGAGGCGGCGGCGGCGCAGGCGGCGACTTAAGGGTGTCGTTTTTAAGGTTTAGGGAGAGGTCGAGGTCGCTAGCTAGCTCGCTACGGGGGCCACGAAGCTCGTTCCTATAGTCGGAAGAGCAGTTCTTTACCTTGTTGGGGTAGGCCTTCTGTAGAAGGGTGTCGGGGACGTCGACTGGTAGCTCCCGGTGAGGCCCTAGGCCGCCAGGGGCCCACATCTCATCGGGACCCAGTCCCTCCTGCGGCTTCTTCGCGTTGTTGTTCTCCTGCAGCTGCTGCTGCTGCTGCTGTTGCTGCTGCTGCTGCTGTTGCTGCGAGTGTATGTCCGTCACGCCACTGCCGTTACGAATTCGGGACCTGTCGGACAAAACGGAGAAGGTGACCGTTTTAACGATTTTCGATGCGTCCGGTGCTACCTACATCCTGCATCCCCCACACACGTAACCTAACCCTCTCTCTCTTTCTCTCTCTCTCTCTCTCTCTCTCTCTCTCTCTCATTCACTCTTTCTCTCTCCCTTTCTCTCTTCTCTCTCTTTCTCTCGCCATATATCGCTCTCGCATCCTCGTTCATTCCCGTTCATTCTCTCTTTCACCCTCTCCAACGTGCCATCTCTTTTCTTTACAGAGATCTCCGGACACGCGGCTCACCTCTATTCAACGGCGACCCACTCACACGCTATTTACAGAACGAAGTGGCCGCGCGACCCGATGCTGCTTCGAAACTCGCCTACATCGCGGATTTTTTTCCCCAGGCAGTGACACAGGGTAAACCCGGGTGCTCCGATCATCCGCGAGACTGGTCATCGTTATTATTCTAACGGTTGACCAGTGGAAGAGACTCTGCCGATAGGGAATCTCAATGATTCTGCTGATTGGAAAGAAGCTATTCCCTTGACGTACAGTTTCCCACAAAAGCGTTCGCACACCGTTTAACGCTAAACCTACCGCGGTCAAAGTGGCCGCTTTCTTATCTTGCAATTCTGCAAAGTTTCGAGACTCTTTCGTGGGAAACGCTTGAACAAGTTATATTATTGAAGCAAGTTTTATAATAAAAACTTCGCAAATTCAAAATAAATTCGGTCTTCTCACTTTTGCGAAGCAGTACATGCCAGTTAGTATCACTGCTTGGTAGGTTTAGTGTTAAAATGCAATGACTCCTTTTAAACTGAACTAAATCGCTTGAATTTCTGTTCAGATGTTGGCAAGAAATCTATAAATCTTTCAACGGCTGTCGCTTGACTCTGGGTTAACGTTGATTTCAAAAGAAATTCAAGTCATTTAGTGCGGCTTGAGAAAAACGTTCTCGCGTTTTGAAAGGTGTGGGAACACTTTTGCGAGTCGCTGTACAAACTGAATGCAAATCGGCGTGGCTCGAAATTACTGTTTCATCTGACCGAACTGAACGTGAACGAAACCTTGGAGACGTAACAAATAATTTTGCAACAAAAGACCACGCTAATTATAATCCCAGGGGTTAAACGCGCTATTCATTTTTACATTTTTACTTTTACATTCATCGCGTTACATCGTTCACTTTCCTTTCAGTTTCACTTCACGATAATTATGAACCCGGATCTCTCGAAATTTACTCGCGAAAGAACGGATCCGTAGCTCACAGAAACGAAAGATCTGCCGATCCCGGGCAGAGTTTCGAAGCATCGTGTAGGTTACGCAACAATTAACAGATAAATACGAATACAAGGCGAGTACAAACAATGACACAAAGGGGGCCGAGATACCAAAGTTTCGATATTAAAAGGTGCCGCGAAGGGGTCAAATACCATGGTACCAACGTGAAAGGTGACGATAGAGAGGGGAAATACCGGAATCTCGTTACCAAAAGCGACGCAAAGGAGGCAAACACACTGCGGAAACAACGGATAGAGGTATACGGGGTTGCACGGTATGCCAAAAGTACGGCGGCTGCTCGAACAAACTCTCTCCGTACACTCTCAAAGGAAAAGCGGTGCCAGCAACGGCGTGCTCGGAGTTCGGTGAGAACGCATCGACACACTCGGGGGAGAGGAGTGCGCGGTGCACGCTAACTACGGAGGAGCGGAATTAACCAAGGGGAAGTTAACGAGTTTTCTAAACGCGTTTCTTACGCGCAATCGAGGCCAATCTAGGTTACAGCCACTTACCGACGTAAAATCATAGTTCGAAACTGCGGCCCGCGAACGGGACCGTCGCGGCCTCGCTTGCAAAATATCCATCGGGAGAAGTTACTTTTTACGATGAACTGCGAACGAGCGACTCGGTCGTCGTGTCCGCAGCCGGAAGATTAATCCTCTGGCTGCCGTTTCGCTGACAGTGAATTACCGTATCGAATCTCATTGGTAGCTGTTATCTTAATCGGGAATTCTTTGCTCGTACGATCTCAGCTAAAACGTCATTTAAATTCCATATTCCTTACGAACAGCTTCGCCGGTAAAAGATCGTATCTCTTTATGACTCTCGGAAATAATTTCGGGAAAACTGCGCATATTTTTTTGTGAAGGTCCGGAATTGTTGTTAGACAGACACGAATTACAAAGTCGAATGAAGAATGAAAAATTGTCACGGAGAAACGAAGATGAGCATTTTCTGTTCGCCACGATGAATCGTGTCGGTACTCGAAATACTTCGAGATAAAATGCTGAAATAAACGGCTTTAAAAAGATCGTGTCGCGGAGCTAAAATAGTGCTTCAACACGAATCTGAATGAAGCGTACGTGGAAGGATCGTTCCATCGGGAGTGCACATGTATATTTTCCCGGTGAATTTTTCCAGGATCGACGCGTGAATGAGCTATTATCGGAGAGCCGGTGACCTTAAGAGGTGAGCAAGGGACGCATGAAACCGCCGATCGACGCACGTGGAGTGCCCGACCGAGAGAATTCTGCGTAAAAGTGAATTTTCACGCGACGCTGAGTATCGGTAGAAAGCTGGGCGCCGTACACGCGTGTCCGCCCTTTTCTCGTGTGTCGTACCTGACGCCGACCCGCGAGAGAATCGAATATTTAATCTTATTTATTTATATTACAGTCTGTTATATCTAGACTGAAATATTCCAGACGATGTATCTCAATCGCGGACGTCTATTTTGCATGCAAATGTCGAGCACGAGCGCGAGACTATTACTCTCGAAACAACAGCAAGAGAATAAAAGGAAGGGTCGATATAAATAATAGATAATCGAAAATAAATAATAACTCGCCATCGATGAACTAACAAGTAAATATCGTAAAATGATTCCGCTATCCGAATTGCAATCCTTCGAATCCTTCGAGATCGAATGGGATCGGCGCAAAGAAAATGCGAGGACGGAACGGCATCGTTACCGATGCTGCATCGACGTTGTACGAACGTTGTCGTGACGAACAATAATTGGTGCATCGAAAGGCAGCTCGATAACCAGAGAATATTGCCGGCCGATTCGTCAAAGTCGAAACGAAATCGTGTTATTGGCGAGCCCGAAAGGGCGTCGGCATGTTGCATCATCGATCAGCAATAAGAGATTAATGAAGGAAATTGCGCAGCGTTGCTCGCGGAAAGGGCGCGGGAGAAAGAGCGAGGTGAATAACGCGATAGAAATTTCAATGGAAAGTCGCGGGGCAACGTGGCGCGGCGGTTATTCGATCGGGTTCTGGATTGTCCACAGCAGCCGCGATCGCTGGGGAATTTTATCGATTCGACAATTAGCACGTGCCTGGCCGTTCGCGCGCGTCCGTCCGACGTACACATCGGCTGGCTTTTCTCTTTCCCCGTTCTTTATTTTCCACGGTCCGAGGACGAGCGAAACCGATGAAATTCCGCGTCGCTCGAGAAACTTTGCTCGTTAATTCCGGACTCGGTGAAGATAAACGAGAACGCTCGATTTCTCGGGCCCCGCGGACTTCTCCAGAAATTGGAAAACTCGTATCGGTTATGATCAATCGCGGGTGCTGCGCGAGCCCGGGCCAAATATTTCTACGTGGAAGCAGCTGTGCCTCCATTTTATTCTTAAATCAAGCACGGGGCGCGGTGGAGCCAATTACTGGGCCCTGTTGACAGCCTTCGGGAGTTTTCGCTATTAGCGCCATAACTACCGTGCTCTCAACGAGACTAAATGTATGTTGTTTTATAACAATTCCACGATTGGATTTATTTAAACTTCGTGCCATGGATTTATTTGAACTTCCACCATGTGTGCCTGGATAAAGAAGTCTTTTTTTGTATGAAAATTCCTACCAGAAATATTTTTATAATATCGGGGACTGTAAAAGAAAAACTCAGAAACCAGACATTTCGATATAATAATGATATAATAAATAATAAGTCATTGAAAAGCCCAAATTAGAGACGACTGTTTTAACGAACTTTCATATTTACATTCCTCCTGTTTAAAAATATGACAGAGATGATTCGAGGTTTGAGACTATGTAGGCCTATCCTGTGGTAACCAGCACAGTAACTAACGCATCGAGCGAAAAATGGGTTCAGTTACTGTGCACGGTAAATAAACCACCGAAATTGAAACTAAGAACAAAAATTCAAATAAGTAATCGCTGTTTTGTTATTCAGATTGTAAAGATACATTTATGTGTTATTTATATCTGTTATTACTTGCGGCAAATATCACAAAATAACACTCGTTCGAAATCGAAATAAATGTCTTATTGTTACTACTTTTATAAATTCATATAAAACAGTTGCTTTCAGTGCTGCGTAAATCTAGCGATAATAGATTATTCCCGTAGAAGAATAAATAAATAAAGAACAATTGTGCGTAGTTTCCCTCGAGTATCTGCTCTCCACGGATCGTGATATCCTCATCAGTTTCCCGATAATTCGGTCTGTTGATTGCGCGTATGGCTAGCTCGGAAAATTGTTCTGAATTCGCAGCGCGCGCATTAGTGGAACTTTCGAAACGACGCTGCGCATTAAAATGTAATAAATACGTTAATTACGAAGGTATCCTCGAACTCGTTCAACGGATACAGAGCCACGGCCATCCTGAATAGAATTTTCCGGTCATTTACCTCTGGCTGCCTCGACTATTTTGAAAGACCGTCACCGAAGCGTGCTCGTTAACTTATCGACGCTTCAGCAGTTGCATCAGAGTGTCCATTCATAATAACCTGTACCTCTTTCCAAATAATTCTGTGCAAACGTAAAATATTACGGAACCCGCTCGACCTTAAACCAGCACAGTGGCCGAAGCAATGGTAGGTTCATCGTATTTTCGTGATATAACAACGTGCTTCATGTAGTATTTCTGTGTTTTGTTATTGGCGGACGATTATTTAAACAATATAGGTAATTTTTATTAATACGGTTATTTATTATTGTATCAATATTAGAAAAATTTGGAAATTTTGTGCGGAATAATTATAGGT